ACATTTCTAATTATGATGTGATTCTATTATTAAAGTTTGGTATCTGGGGGTTCTCGGGGTCGAACTTTATGATTTTTTGTCAAAATTGGGATATTCAAGATGGTGGATCCAATATGGCGAACGAGCTTTGTAATAAATAGTTGTTTGAAAAATCAATTGAACACGCGTTCGTAGATAATGAGTCAAATTGAGGAGAAGTAGAACAAAAATAGTAGTTTGAAAAACTGAAGAGATAGATTGCCGAGCTGAAAACGAGTATTAAATGAATAGTATCTTGAAAAACAAAAAAAAAACTTTCATGAGTAGCCGAACTGAAAAGAAGTAAAACATGAAATGAATAAAGTGTGCTGGTAAATATTTGACTGAAATAATATTTTCTAGAAATATTGTGCATAGCAAAACAACGTTTGCCAAGTCAGCTAGTAATCTCTTAAGATGATATTTATTATACGTTCCCAATACTCTTCGTATATTGTTGAAAAAAGAAAATATTGACAGTGTCAAATGATTTCTGAATGTTAATGATAATAAAATTCAAGAAAAAAAAATCATTTTACGATCAAATAAGGATATTATGTACTGAATACGATATTTTCTTATTCTCTTTTGAAAAAAATGGCGAAATGTGCAGGCTATGCTAATCAGTTAGATGGCAAATTTTTATTTGTAAGCTTTCCAACAGATGGAGATAAACTTAAAACATGGAAAGTAAACCTAAAGAAACCGAACTGGAACATCGGTAAATTGACCAATATATGCGTGGTAAAAATGATAAAAATAAAGTATACTTTTCCATTGTGCTTATCACCTTACAAATTTTTAGATGCACTAGTGCGGAAAAAACTTTTTCCTCCTACCTCTATCCAAAGTAAACATTTCCTTGCCTCAATTTATGGAGCAACGTCGTACTTTTCCTCCCTAGGGAGGAAAAGTACTTGTTCTCCCTAACTTTTTCTCCCTTGGGAGAAAAAGTGAAAGTGACGTCATATGGTATTTAATAGTAAATATACCAGACACGTTTATTTGTCTGCTATAGAGCAGGAAAATGTATCTACCAAATGGTTGGAAAAAATTCGGTTGCTTAAATTCATAAAAAAAATTGCAGAATTTTCAAAACTACCTGATGTCATTCTTGCTTGAAAGTCTACGAATATCACTGAAGGATATGTGCAGCAATCTCTCACAAAATATCAAAATATTTCGAACCAAATTGTGGGTCACTAAAGTTTTTTATGAAAATATCACGAAAACTGTATTGGCTCCAGATCTCACTTCTAGTGGTATTCAAATAACCACTGCTCAAAACTGCACTTTTAACATTAGTTTATATAATTATTACTCTACCACAAATTGAAAATATGTAGGATGCAAGAGTGAAAATAACGTGCCCATAAGTTATACTGTATACTTACTCCTTTGTTACTTTCATCAATGAGTTATGTGGAAATGACTTTTTATTAAAGGGGGACGGAAAACTCATATTTATAACATGGGGGTAAAGTATATTCTATTCTTCATTTTCCTGCAATTTCACGTATTACTTTTTATATGCCTACTTTTCGTCCTAGAATTAGTCACTCCATAAATTTTTCTCGGAGTTGGATTTCAATCATGAGTCTCAGCTCATTCAGCTCATAGTCAAACTACTGCTCAGCTTGAAATCAGAATTCATTCAGTCAATTCAGTCAACCCTGGTATACAGTCTAAGAACAGTCTCTCTTGGTGAAATATATTAAAAGCCTTTGGTACAAATTATAAAATGTTCAACTATATCTTGTTATAGTTGAATCAGGAATTCTATATGGAAATTACGTATGATACGCCCATGATGACAATATATCCACCTTTGTTACGCCAATGACTTCGATATTTATAACCAGAAGAACTCAGGAACTGATGTAACAACTGGCACTTTTCAGCACTTATGTCTTCAAAGAGGATGTTGTGTCGTGAGAGGGGAAAGTGTCTTGCTCTATTTCTATTATTGCTCTTGATTGCCAATCTATTCAGTGATAAATTAATATTGAATTGGCTGTTTGGACAGCTGAAGAGTACCTATGTGGTCGAGGTCCTGAGGAAAACCATATTCACATCACGTAGACTCTTTAATTTTGACTCTATGCAGATGAGTGTTAGTGAGGCAGTGACCACTTCTCATACGGCATAAGGTAGTTATCTCGCTCCTTGTTAGGGCAGGGCATGCCTTGAACCAGGGTACTCTCAGAGTGAATCCACTCAGCCATCGGTAGGAATATAGTTCGACTTCTTCTTTTTTGTAATTCTAGGAACTTAGGCATTATATCGTTGCCGGCACCACAAGATATTAGGGGATTAAAGAAAATCTCGATTATTATTAGGAATATTAGGATATTTTTATTGATACTGAAGCATCTTGCATTTATTTATTCAATAAGTGATTATTAGGACCAGGTCGAAGTATTGTCTTTTGTGAGTGTGAATACTACTGTCATTGGTAATATCGAATCTCATGAGTTAATTACTAGTTACAAATATGGCAGCGTCGAAAATATGTGAAAGCCAGAATGATCAATATAAAATAGGTACTTGGCGTAAATTCGACTTCTCCATCTTCCAAGAAGATCCTCGGCTTACCCTGTCAACGAATATGCTTTTCATGGATTTTATTCCATAACGTGATTTCAGCTATTTGATACTTTTCGATGCACAGCGGAGAGAAATGGATTTACTTTTAATTTCATCTATAGCCCGTTGAAGTTTTTCTTCGGAATAATTTCTATAATCCCAAGTGAACGAGTTTGCTTGCGAGGCATTATTAGTCCTGAAAGAGAAAAACGATGGTTGTAGAAAACTTGGACTTTGGAACACGTGTAACTTTGGTACACAACGTTTTATAAATTAGATTCTACCACGGACGTCTGCAGTCTAATTTTGGAACCTCCACTCGCTATACAGTGTGTCCCACTCACCATGCTCACCATGGGTATCTTTTTAACGGTGATAGATACGAGGTCGGTTAAATGACACCAAATGTGGAGTTTGTCAAGACCAATATATATACAGTGTGACCCATTTAAGATGGAAGCACCCTTATAAAACTTACATTTTTCAACCGATTGGAATGATTTTTTTTTTGTTAGGTAGATATTCAAAAAGTCTATTAGGACACCAAATATCATGAATAAATCTCCATTTCCAGGGCCAACTAATCTGATTTTTCAAGGTCAAAAATCTAAAAAAATTACTAGCGATTTTTTTAGAAAAAATCTGACTACACCACTGGATTTGTGACATTTTCAAATGGGTAACATGTAAATTACGTTGAAATGCGTCAATCAATAAAAAAGTTATAAAGGAATGAAATTTGAAAAATATGCCGTTTAATCAACCCACCAATTCATGTTCAGGAATTTTATGAAAATTCTGTATACTCCACTGGATTCAGGATGTCTTGAAATATTACTGATCACAGTTTCATCGAAATCTGTTCAGTAATAAAAATTGATGGGTTGATTAAACGGCATATTTTTCAAATTTCATTCCTTTATAACTTTTTTATTGATTGACGCATTTCAACGTAATTTACATGTTACCCATATGAAAATGTCACAAATCCAGTGGTGTAGTCAGATTTTTTCTAAAAAAATCGCTAGTAATTTTTTTAGATTTTTGACCTTGAAAAATCAGATTAGTTGGCCCTGGAAATGGAGATTTATTCATGATATTTGGTGTCCTAATAGACTTTTTGAATATCTACCTAACAAAAAAAAAATCATTCCAATCGGTTGAAAAATGTAAGTTTTATAAGGGTGCTTCCATCTTAAATGGGTCACACTGTATATATAAGACCAATAATATAATGTGAAAAAATATTTTGATAAAATCTATTCGTTTTTGTTTTATACGCAATAAACAGATTTTGATCATTTTCATGTCTCCTCCGTAACTTCTTTATTTATGAAAATATTCAAATAGGAATTTCACATTCTCATGGCAGTTTTTCAAAGTGATTTCGAAAAAAATATGAAATTTATACCAACTCTTCTTGAATTTGAGATATCAGCACCAACTTTAGTTTTTCAAATGTAGGTCATAGCTCACTATGACTTAGTTACAAATAACTTTTTTTTCTCTTACAGATGATATGTCGCAGTAATAGTTTTGTGTTGATAACAACGGAGTTATCGTCATTTATACAAAAACAAAAAATTATTTGGGAGCCGCCATCTTGAATTTATAAATTTTAACAAAAAAAATCGTGATCTCCGACCTCAAAAACCCCCACTTACCAATTTTGAATGGAATCGGACCAAATCTTATCCGCCATCTTGGAGCAGCCTTTTTTTTTATTTCAACAAAAATTCCATAACTCCGATTAACTTGAAATTTGGCAGGTGTTCATAATTTCGGTGACAATACATTATGGAATTTTTGTTGAAATTAAAAAAATGGCTATATTTTATATCATATCCCTGTATAAACTACAATGTTTCTTGGGATTTATAAATAAAGAAAATAAATAAGATGTACTTACCAGAAATAACGCAGATTCAATCGTTTCGACTGCACGATACTTAGTTTGCAGATCTTTAAAAAACGTGTGTCGAGATCCGTTTCACTCAAATATGCACTGTTTCTGATAGAACGAATGCAATGTTGCCAAATTATTTTTTTTACCCATCATCATCTCATGAACAAGACTGAATACCACGAGTTGCCGAAATCACTGCCTACATATATTTTTGAGATGACAGTGTTGTAAAAATACCAGGTGTCCCAAAGAAACACTCAGATCATAAAGTTACCCCGGCTTACGGTACCTAACCTACATAACCGAAGGTATTCAATGTAACCCGACGTTTCACACCAAATTATAATTTAAACACTCGCAGATTATCCTCAATTTTATTTTTTCGCACTAGATAACCCTAAAATCGAAATACACGAGACGAGAGAAACACATTACAAAAATATAATAAAATAAAGTGAAGCCTATGTACAAAAATAAAAAACTGTCTAACCTAGGTTTTGGCTTCCTCCTTGTCGTTGTCTTTGTCGCCATCGTAAAACTCGTTTTTTGCCTCGACCATCTTGTCCTCTAGCTCTTGGCTGATCCGCGTGTCGGGGTCTTCGTCCTCTTTCATCTTCTCGTCTTCGGCGAGAGCCGGTCCTGGCACGTCACACATTTGGACGCTCGGCGAATGCTGGCACATCTTCAGATTATCGAAGGTGTACCTGAAACAGTTTGTTCGATCTTTGGAAGAAGTCCATTGTAACTCAGAGTAGAGTGGTATGGCTGTGTCTCACGGTCCAACAATTTGATCAAACTACAGATCTGTGATGTCATAAGTGAAGTCACGTCAAACAGCAGTTGAATTTTCAAACTTGTTCTAAATATTTGTCATGTTGGATCGAACAATAAGGTTGGGATGTTTGTTTTCATGTTCTCTTCTTTGATTATTACTTTATATCTTAGGAATTAAATTAGAGCCTAGCCATAGCATATTACTAGTAAACGGGAAATATTGCCACGGTGGCAAGTCAAGACCGCATAAAATTGTTTTGTAGTTTGTTTAGCCAGAAGCGTGGTGGTCATTAGACTAGTGTTCCTTCCTCCAAGGCTCTGGTTAGTGCTAGAAACAAGGTGATCATCGGCGGAGATTTTAACGCGAGACATGTTGACTGGGGGAACACAGTCCAGAATATCCAGAACGGGAACAGGTTGAAGGCGTACATACATGTCAACCTGGACTACCCTAACTCTCCCACTCACTACCCCGTCAATGGAATGACACCCACAGTCCTAGACATCGTGCTGTCCAGGAACGTGGTGGATATCTCTGAACTAAAGGTGCTGGACGAGCTGAGCTCTGATCATCTGCCATATTGTATTCGAATATAGTCAAAAACCCACAGAGGTCATTAAAAAGTTCTACAATCATAAAAACACGAACTGGTAGATCTTCAGAGCCATCTTGGACCAGCACATTAAGGACAACATCAGCAAAGAATATATCGACTCAGAAACCAGCAACCTCATTGCGGCCATCACGGAGGCTAGAAATTCCACCACGAGGCTGGTCAGCATCGACTCCAACAAGCATGACCTACCGGAGGACGTCCTTGAGCTCATAGCAGAGAAAAAAGTAGTGAGGCGCCGCTGGCAAAGGCTCAAAACACCTGAAGCCAGGGGCGCCTTCAAGCGTATCTGCAACGAAGTAGAATGCAGAATTCGTGAGCTCAGGAACGCCTCCTGGAGAGCCAAGTTGGAGAGTCTGGACCTTCGTGACAACACATTGTGAAAAATGTCCAAAAGGCTAAAAAAACAATTTGTTGCCATGCCCACAATTGTGTATGGACAAGAGGAAGCGATGTCAGATCCGGAGAAGGCGGCGATGCTTGGGAGACACTTTCAAAACATCAGCAAGATAAATAAGAACCCCACCAACGCAGTCTAGGTAGACATGATGGCCACGGCAGTCCGAATAAGGGCACTACCCAGCACCCTGCTCCCAAGTCAAGTCCTGAAAAAAGCTATCACCACTCCATCAGAGATTAAGAGTATCATCCAGCACCTAAATATGAACAAGGCGCCAGGACTTGATCCTCCATAAGAACCTGTCTCGCAAGGCTATAGTGCAACTACACTATCTCACCAATGCCATAATTAGATACCAGCACTACCCAGATTGCTTCAAAACTGGGCTTGTTGTACCTATCCCTAAACGAGGCAAAGATTTAAGAACCTGTTTCGCAAGGCTATAGTGCAACTAGACTATCTCACCAATGCCATAATTAGAATAGAATAGAATAGAATATGTATTTCACCAAGTTACAAATGTTATGTTTTTGGCAGGTCAGATACAATAGACATGCTAAAATGTAGTACATGAAAAACACTTTAAAATGTAGTGGAATAAAAAACGCTTAAAAGTAGTAGAATAAAGTCATACATACAAATACAAAGAATCTAGTAATAAAACAAACTGGAATCAGTGACATATAGTTGAATAACAATCATTCATAAGGACTCATCGAGGGGCGTCCTCAGATATTCGTCAATGGAATAAAAATAGTGACGGAGAATATGACGTTTCAATTTTGATTTGAAACAATTCAAATTCAAAACCTTGAGCTCCTGGGGCAAAACATTATAAAGTTTGATATCGAGTGAATTATTCTGAGATTTGTTCAGTCTGTAACGTAATGGCCTCAAATTATTTGCATAAGTATGGTAATTATGAAATCAGAGTTGGTAGAAAACGAATTCCTGTTTTTGTGTATCTCAATAACTGTAGCATATATGAATAAGGATGGTATAGGCATAATAAACAGTTCCTTGAATATTTGTTGACAGTGATCTCTGTAACCAGCACCAACGATAATTCTGATAGCTCTTTTTTGCATTTTGAAAACCTTCATAGCGTAAGAAGAGTTTCCCCATAAGTGTATGCTGTAATTCATGTGAGAATGAAAAAATGAAAAATAACATGTTTGAATAGTATTGAAGCATAATTGGTTTTTCAAATTACGCAAGAGACATATCGAACTTGACAGTTTATGACATAGCTGATCAACATGAGATGACCAAGTTAGTTTGTCGTCTATTACAACTCCAAGAAGTTTGACAGTTTTTCCATTGCCTGGATTTCTAGTCGAAAAAGACAATTCCTGTGTCTTATCATTATTCAATTTCAAATTGTTGGCACTAAACCACTCCTGTGCTCTACAAAAAGAATCTGCCAAACTGAGAGAGAGACTGTCTGCATCAATTCCAGTATTGAGCAAAGTTGTGTCATCCGCATAAGCTACACATTTATTTGAAAACAAAGAGTGAAACAGATCGTTTACATAAACGATGAATAATGATGGGCCCAAAACAGATCCCTGAGGTACCCCGTGTAGAATATTGAAAAAATCTGAATGGGATTCATTAATATATACTGCTTGCTATTTGTTGTGCAGGTAGGATTGAAACAGATCGAGTGGTATGCCTCTGACACCATAAAAACGTAACTTCTCAATAAGAACCTCGTGTGAGACACAATCGAAGGCCCTCGAGAGATCGCATAGAGTAATAGATACATCCATGCCACCCTCAAGGCCTTCGACGATCTCACTAACGATTTTGAAAACCGCCTGGGTGGTACTACATTTACTTCTAAACCCAAACTGGCAGCAGTTGAGGAGTCCATTAGATTCGAAATATTTCATGAATCTCTGTTTCAGTAATATCTCAACAACCTTCGATATTATTGGAATAATAGATATCGAACGATAGTTTGCAATCTGTGAAACATCCCCTTTCTTAAATATTGGTATAACTTTAGTGACCTTCAAAATAACGGGAAACTTTCCTTCAGTGATGCATGCATTGAACAGAATTACCAATGGATAGACTAATAAATCTATTGTTTGTTTCAAGAATTCACTATTCATGCCGTACACATAATTAGATACCAGCACTACCCAGATTGCTTCAAAACTGGGCTTGTTGTACCTATCCCTAAACGAGGCAAAGATTTAACAACAACGAATGGCTTCCGTCGGAAATTTTCCACTCGAGGCAGGTGTTCCGCAGGGGTCTTGTCTCTCACCTCTGTTATACACCCTCTATACACATGACTTCCCTGTATTCGAGTGAACGAGTGCGGCGCTATACGCTGATGATACGGCAATTTACGCGCACTTGTTCGACTCGGATATTGCCAGGACCAAAATCCAGATTCATCTGGACAGGGGAGTCATGCCATACTTTGGCAAGTCGAAGATCTGTGTAAATGACACTTAAACAGAAGTGATCAATCTTAAAATCGTGTGACAAAGATTTCTTGACATTTCAAACCATTTAAGTCATAGGCAAGAATGACGTCACATCCCAGGTAGCCAGACTGACGAATGTGACGTCTATAGGACCGCTATCTAAGGTCTTTCTTGGTCTCATACTTCTTTTGACCAAATTATGACGTCATGCGGACGTCATTAATGTGACGTCTTATGGACAGCCACTGTTTGACGTCGTATAGACGTCAATCTATGGTCTTCATATTCGTTTGGGTATTATTATCATTATCATTATTATTATCATTATCTTTATTACTATTATTATTATTATTTTTATTATTATTATTATTATTATTATCATGTATGTATAGGAAAACGAAGTTATAAAATAAATTGATTAATTTATCCAAATAACTGTATAAATGTATGATAAAAATGTACTTTATTCCATAGGCTTCCCTTGATTTTCAATGTTTGAATTTAGCGCCAAAGACAATTCTCACTCACCGACCAGATGGCCAATGGCGATCAAGTAATTACACGAAGAGATTGTGTATGCGACTCGCGACCATCTCGCGACTGCCGTTCAGCGTCAAGCTTGCATCGTGCATGGTGCGTTCCCGTTCATGTTCATTGTCCATCGTCCATGTTCGAATGGGTGTTGTTTGCTTGTTTGTGAACGGCGTCTGTGCCATCGATTTTGTTAAGAATGTTAAAATGTTGAGTGTTTGAGTGGTATTTCTATACAGTCTGTTTTTCACGTGAAAGTATTCAGGATGTATTGTGTAATACAATCTGATGACAGTGGAAGCAACAGAGTGTAGCTGTTGTTCACGAAACTTGGCTGACGCCGTTGAAAAAGGAAGTGTTTTGGCCGCCATTTGAAGACAGCAAAACATACAAATGTGAAGGGGAGCCATCGACGCTGAAATTTTCAACTATTTATGTAATACCTTACATTACTATCTTGTTAATAAAATCTTCATTCGTAGCAAATTTATTTTATAACACAAATGATAACCTTCCTCACCAGATTATAACCATTAACCTCAAAATTTTATAAAAAAAAACAGACGTCTTATTGACGTCGGAAATTGGTCAGTAGTGTCAGTTTAAGGTCCAATTTGAGAACACATACTGACGTCTAAAAGACTTTCAAATATGACGTCATTTGGATGTGTCTTACTTACGTCATTTGGACGTCGCATTTGTTGAAATAAAGACGTCTTTTGGCCGAATGTGATGCCGTCAATTAGACGTCATATAGTCGTCATGTGCTACCTGGGATCAAACAAATTTGATCAAATTGGTGGGCCGTGAGACACAACTTTATATTCCATACCCCTCATTTTTCGAGCACTCATTAACTTCAACTTGACTTGACTCACTTACTTCGTTATAGCCTCCAGATAGTGTTTGCTATTCGCGTTCTCCTGCCGCGTCACCACCTCCGGATGCAGCGTAAAGTCCGGCGCGAAAAACTCCAGGTACTCCGTGAAAGGCATCTCGTTCGAGATCTGCTCGTCGACCAGCAGCGACGTTTCGTACGTCCAGCATCGAGCGACGTTCCTCAGAGTGTACCCGCCGCCGCCTACGACCAGAGTGGGGACGTTGAGGTTCTTCACGAATTTGACGCACTCGCCGTGGCCTTTGGTGCTCAGCGAGAAACAACCGAGTCTGGAAGAGAAGGTTTATTTCGATTTATTCACGCACCAAGAGATTGAGACACTCTATTTAGGTACATACCAGAGAAAAATATGAACATAAAAGCAAAAAAACTACAAGTTGGACATTAAGATGAACAATATAAACGACGAGAGTAGAGACGTTGAGGTTTTTGACGCACTTGAAGTCTTTGGTGGTCAGCGAGCAACCGAGTCTGTAAAGAAAGTTCTAAGTCGACGTCAGCATTGTATACAGGCTGAACTAGTGAGATAACGACTGTGTAAACTTCGTTGGAGCCGATTTCTGACTACACCTAGCGGAATCCGAAAAAAATTCAGATTTTCCGGCCCGGACAATGGCGCGCACTATATTCATATGAAAGAATTTATGTTGAAAATTTCATAAGGTTGTCCTACTGGTTAGTCTATAATATGTACAGGATCCCGCCGATTTCATAGGAGGGCCGGTTGCATAAAGAAAAATTTATAATACAATCAACTGATGCCATAATAACTTTAATGTTATGTTAAATGTCTCTTGCGTTGCATAAACAATCTGATGTTATTATAATTATTCCATTTACGAATGACGAAGAGGGCGTGGCAACAGCGCTAATCTGTCTGCTCCTTGCGTTCCGCGCATTGTTGATACGCATTTAAGGTTAGGTTTATTTGCTTGATTTTCATTCAGATTGACAGAAGTTACAGAAAACCTGAATCGAGTATTGAAATCATTGTCATCATGAATCTCGAATGGGTTGTTTCTGTTTCGAAATGTTCTTGGCCTGGGAATCAGTAGTTCTTCTTCAGATAGTAAAGACAATGATAATATAGACATTTTCTGTAATACCTATAATAGTCATTCACTCACATTATTGTTTTAAATCATCTACTCTACCTTTTTGAAATGAAACAAGAACTTGGGACTCTAACGTTTTTTTCAAATTCTGCAAAAAATCTGCGAAATATTCCAAATAATTAGGCGGAACTTTCACAAGTCATTTGCTGGTTGTCACTTCAATCAGTGGTCGAGCACTATCATTAAGTTGATGATATGAATAAGTCGATTTGATGTGACATCTAAAGTTGATTGGCCTTTGTGCAACCGATTTTTTAGTTAAATAGTCATTATCATAAGTTAATTAGATGATTAGGTCACCATGCCATCAAGTACATGATGGGCCTTGTAAGCAACCGAATACCATTTATAACATCTCATCAAATATTTGAAGTAACATCAAATAATTGATGAGCTGCAACCGGCCCTCAGTATTGTTGTTTTCTCAAGTTAATCGAATCAGACAAAAGTTGCCTACATTGGTCTTCATCAGTATGCCGTTTTGCAAATTAAAAAAAATTCAGCCGTTCCTGGAATATTTTGAAAAAACTGAAAATCACTAATTTTGTATTTATTTGTTTTTTGGGCATCTCGTTCGAGTTCTGCTCGTCGACCAGTAGCGACGTTTCGTACGTCCAGCATCGAGCGACGTTCCTCAGAGTGTACCCGCCGCCTCCTACGACCAGAGTGGGGACGTTGAGGTTCTTCACGAACTTGACGCACTCGCCGTGGCCTTTGGTGCTCAGCGAGAAACAACCGAGTCTAGAAGAGGTTTATTTCGATTTATTCACGCACCAAGAGATTGAGACACTCTATTTAGGTACAAAAGAGAAATATAAACACAAAAACTTGAAAAAAAATACAAAATATACATATTTTTCTACTCACATAACTAAAATGGCATTTATCGTACAGATATGTACCACGCTAAATGATCGATTAATCACGGATTGTCGATCTGTGATTTATTCAAAATATTAAACACGTTACCATGGCAACACGATTTCTTAAACACATTACCATGGCAACGCAGTTCATTAAACACATCTTCAGTAATTTGAGACATGTCTGGTCTGTCAATTGTATTAACTGTCAACTGTTATTTTCGAATTTTGTATCAGAATTATTCGAACAATTTTCGTTTGTATCAGAATGTTTCATTGAAAATATATGCGAAATGTAGAATAAGAAAGTGAAATCGAAGAGAATGTTTTGGCACTTGCGTATCTCCAAGAAGTGTAAAAATAATGCATCCATCTCTGAGAACAATTTATTTATTCTGCGCTAAGCATGACAATAAACGTGAAACAAAAAGGTTAGTAAGCAATGGACTGGACACATCTACAACCAATATCACTTATACGTGTCTCGCTGGTTGCATGCATCAGTTGAATCTATTATGTTCTCAATTCCCATTCCTTTCGAATTGTTTTGTAGGTAAGCAGGAATAGCAGGTATGTTAATGTAATTTTCGGAGTTCGTAGAAAAATCATAGTATGTAACGCGTTTATAAACTCTTCTAGACACTCGTTTATTAAACACTCGCTCCGCTCTGCTCCGCTCGTGCTTAAAAGACTCGTCACTAAAAGGACGTTTATAACACTTGTTACATAATATACTATTAAACTCATTCAAATAGATGTATCACATGACTGAATCAGTAATTATTGCCGCCTACGAACAGCAGATTGGGGATGTTGAAGTTTTTGACGAACTTGACGTACTCTCCGTGGTCTTTGGTGCTGAGCTAGAAGCAGCCGAGTCTAGAAGGAAAGTTCCAGGTCGATGTGAGCATTGTATACAGAGTAACCTAGTTGGATAACGACCCCTGACTAAATGATAATAATAATAATGAATCAATAAAAAATATATGCTCAACACGGATAAATGAATGATATAACGAATGATGGGGATACTCTGCGGTAACTTTTCCAAAGCATTCATTTTCTTCATAGATCATAGATATATTTTTTATAAATGTGTGAATTTCCATTAATACAGTCACTTTCACGTATTTTTATATAATGATACATCATTCTGTAACATCTTTGAGGGGTTATTGGATATTTCTAATATTTTGAATATGTTTTTCATCAACAAAAGTAAGTCTCAAACAACTCTTAAAATTTTTACGTACCTGTGAAATATTAGGTTGGTTAGGATATTTGAAATTAACTTTCCGTTACAGATTTTATATTGCAGAGTTATATTTATTCACGAAACAGTTTGTTTTGGATTTATAATATTAAATAAGTTACTTAAATACCGAAAACTAATCACACAACAGTTGGAAAACTCTTAATAATGAAAACTACAAATGACATCCCTCACAACTATTACTGTTCGTCTACAACGAAACTTTGCGGTGCCGCCACGTTCATCTTCAGGTAATTCATGTTGTTATGGGCTCATTATTGTATTCTAAAGGTTGTTCTATATTTGTCTTAAGCTATTTATGCCGAGTTAAATAATGAATTTTCCGCGGGAGAAATAAGAATATTAAATCACTCTTTTTAACTAGTTACTCTGATAACGACTGTGTTAACGTTGGAGCGATTATTTTGCTATTGAATACTTCTCAATGAAATATCAGGACTATTCTAGTTGAGTATTCTGAATCCAGAGGTGCAGTTAAATTTACAAAAAAATTGCCAATATCAAATGATTTTCTATTCTTGCAAATATGTACCATTATTTACTTCTGAATATTATCGATTATGAACCCTGTGATAGCTCAATCTTATTATCTCATAGCTCATAATGAAATTTCTCAGAATTAACTCACTAGCAGTTATAAGTAACACCATTGAATATATAACCTTCAGTTATTTAAGGTACAAGTACCACTAATGCAGATTTTCATTCTTCACATTTTCATCATTCTTATATGTTTTGTTTTTAATTTCTGGTTCCACAAAACCAGCTGTAAATATTCGTCCACCATTTCAAAAAAGCCATTCCTAATATTTGAAGACAAAATCCCCAGATTTAAAATTTCCCAAGTGTACATTCACAGTTGAATCTGACAAGAAATAACAAACTCGTCCGCCATCTTGGAGGCGCCATCTTGACTTTTTCAACAAGAGTCAAATTACATTATCTCCGGAACTAAATACCTACACCTGTCAAATTTCAAGCTGCAGGATTTCCAGCACACAGACAACAAAGCAAGTTTAACAAATGCTTCAAATAATGAAAAGGAAACTTACCGATCCATAGCAAGGGAATCAGCACCACATTGTAAAACAATGGCAGTCGGTTGATAAAACTCCATAACAGCGGAAATCACAGGTTTGAAAACTTGCCAATAACTGGCATCATCAATACCCTCTTTCAGGGGGACATTCACTGAATAGTATCTGCCACTTTCTGCACCTATCTCATACATATCACCAGTACCTGCAATGAAAATTTAATCAGTCAATAAACAAACTACAGAAATAAAACATTCAATTTACCTGGGAAGAAGTAATTGCCATACTTATGAAAGCTCACTGTCATAACTCTGTCCGTCAAATAGAAAGCTTCTTGGACCCCATCACCATGATGGACGTCAATATCTATGTATAACACACGAGGATGGTGTTTGAGTAACTCTAATATTCCTATAACTATATCGTTCACATAGCAGAAGCCTGAAGCTTCAAACTTTTTCGCATGATGTAATCCACCTGCAAAACAATGATCATAATTTACTTTTTTGTGGACCTCTACAAAAAATCACATTGTATGCTCTAATTTCCGAACGAAAAACCGACTATTGCCGAAGGCAAGTACTTCTCGTCCGCAGACACAAACTTTTCGTCAGCTGCAGGGTTGCCAAATCTACTAAATTTTCAGTAGATCTCCTGATTTGCATATTGATCTACTGATCTACTGAAACATTTCATAACCTATTGAAAAATATTTTGACACTTATTTATTATAAAGTATTATTAGTTAATCACATACACTTATAAATTGCATGATATTTTGGCACGCTCTGTTTAAATTAATTTTACAAAATAAGTAATGAATTTTTATACAGGTACTAATGATATGAATGAACCAAAAAAGAACAATACCTAGTATCTGGAGAATGAAGAGACAGAACATTCTGAAAATTGGGGATACTTTGATAATTAAACATTCTCTATCCGTCAAAAATATTTTCATCGATACAGTGTTGCCACTTCTTGCAGAAACAACTAGCAACTTCGTTATATTAGCACCCTGTATTTTATTGCATTTTAAGATTCTTCCTGAAGAGCTGATTTTATCGATGCATCACACTTGGGGTCTAGCAGGAATGATTACAGCGATATAGGGTGTTCAAAATCAATATTTATCAATTTTAGGGTTTCTTTGTGTCGAAACTATTCATTATAGATCAAAATGGCTTACATGTCCCTACTAGTGATCGACCGATACCGATACCGATGCCCGATTATCGGTATCGGCCGATAGATGTGAGTATATATCGGCTATATCGGCCGATGTATAAATAAAGACAACCATAGCAGCTTAAAACATTTTTTTTTATATTTAAATTTGAAGTAATATTTGAAATGAGGTAATCTTAAGAAATTATGGCAGATGAAACATGAAATAGGCATTCAATATGAATACTGTAGTTTTGGCAAATTATCATGTAAAAAAATAAGTGTCTCGGTTGTTTCTGGATCCAGCCGATTCCTTTTCGCCGAATTTATGGTTCCAGCTTCTGAAAACATTTGCTCACTTGCAACACTGCCAACTGGTGCAGATAAATATATAAGAGCTTGATTATATAAGAATGGTAGAACTCCTCTTTTTTCTTGCCACCAAGAAATGGGATTCGCTTTTCTTTCAAGAAGAGGATGTTTCTTATATTATGTAATTTCAGCATTCACTTTTCCACAAATGGATGCTCTAGAAGATGATTTTGTGTCACAAGAAGATGTTGTTGGAATGGTTTTCGTTTTTGTGGAGCTCATCCCTTCTCCGGCAAAGTCTTCGTAGATTTTCCAAAATAGATTTTGGCCAGATGTTTGACTAGTCTCAGGTTCAGAAGTTCGAACATACTTAGCAAGTGGTTCGTTGTCATCACTATCAATTTCTATAGTTTTCAGTATTCAGATTTTAGAGATTTTAGACAATAATAATTGATAATGAATGTTATCAATTGAAAAAGGCCGATATGCCGATATATACCGTTATCGGCCAAGACATTATCGGTATCGGCCGATTATCGGTATGGGCTAAAGAAGTCATATCGGTCGATCACTAGTCCCTACCTTAACTTTTGATCCATCATCTCCTGACATTTAATTGGAACAGATACAGGGTGATCAGAATTATGAATCTTGAAGCACCCTGTATTTGTTCCAATTAAATTGCAGTAAATATGTATTATGTTTTTCTCAACTTAATGCAAAAAAATTCGAATTATTTTTTTATATACTCACAGTGTGTCCGTAAAGTATGGAATAAATGCAATATTTCCTGAACAAAACGCATTTTCAAAAAAAATCTGAAACACTTTGATTTTTAATTTGAGTGTTCTACATTTTACAACAGAATTTCATTAAATTGGGTGATACACATCAAGGTGATGACGTCACCGGCAATTTTTTCAATTTGACACCCTGTGTTTTGTGACTCCAAGTATTATGCCTTCATGGAATCAGCTCATTATAATTGCTCAAAAAATGTCACAAAATATAGGGTGTTACATTAGCAAAGAATTACCAATGGAGTCATCACCGTAATCTGTATTACCATGTACAATAAAATTTTGTTGTAAAATGTAGAACATCAAAATTGAAAATCAATGCATTTCAGATTTTTCCCACAAGGTTCTTAGTTAAGGAAATAATATCGAATTTATTACTTACTTTATGGACACACTGTATGTCCCTGTGTTAAATTCTCTCAAGTTGTGGAAGATTTGTGAGAGTAAAACAAAGTAAAACACTTTTTACCTACAGTGTGTCCACCTTAAGAACTCACCATCCCTGTAAAATCATTAGTATCTGATGGATTTTGATTTTTTTTCTCTTTGTTAGATAGGTATTTGAAATGTCCATCCAACAAGAGAGTTCTTGGTTATTTTATTCTTGGACTGTTATCATGGCCAACTGTGACCAACTTTATTGACCCATATTTGGATTTTTTTTTCACAAAAAATGATGATGCATTCTGAATCACCATGTACTGATTTTCATCATCATAAAACACAGGGTTTTGGAAAAAACAGATTATTATTTTTAAATAGGTGATCAGGAAATGTAGTACTGTAGTATGTTTGGGAAGAATTAATGACACATTATCATGGGGGATTACTTCAAACATATCTACCAATTTTCATCATTTGAATATACAATGTTTCTGAGAAAGTTTGTTAGATATAGAATAGAGTGGAATTCCACCATCCCTTTGTCCTTTAGATATGAAAATTTGAATTTTTTACACAAAAATCATTATTTTCCTAGTCTTGATTTTTTTCCCTATGAGTTCCTGTGATGACTAATGGGAGATATTTGAGAAGCAATTTCTTCAGCAATTTTATTTCCCTTTCATGTCCCTGTGTTGATTTTTCTCAATTTGTTATGAACAATTTTAAAAATGTTTCTCAATATGTCCCTGAATTTAATTTCTTCAACTTGTAGAAGATTTTTGAGAGAAAATTTGATTTTCCTATAATATGTTCCTATATTGAATGGGGCAAAATGGAAACATTTGATGAATAGATTTGACAATACAAAATTTTGGCAAAAAATCATCAAGTACTTATAAAAGATTTTGTTCCTATATGTTCCTATATTTTCTCAACTTGTGGAAGATATTAGAAGGGCAATTTCTTGTCCTTGTTTCTGTGTTGATTTTTTTCTACTTATGAAATGAAGAGTAATTTATGAATTGAACTCTGAGTACTAGAAAACAGTGAACAACAGTAAATTGTAAACAGTATGATAATAATAGAAAGAAAACCCCACAATCCTACACCAGAAGTCAACAATTTTTTATATCAATGGCTGAATTTTGGGGTTTTGCTGGGTAAAATCACTCACCAGACCAGTTGATGGCAATATCACAGTCATTGTTATTCAGTTTCATAGCACCTTCAAGTGAAGCACCTGTATACATAGCACAGAAATCAAAAAGTCCATAGAATACTGGGCAATCATCTCCTACATTATAATGGCTGAGGTGTTTAGTGTAAGCTTGGATATTTTGAGGGGTCACTTTCTGAAGAAAATCTGGAATACAGTCATTGAATGCAAATGCATGTGTTCTTTACCATTATAATATGACTTCTACTCATTGGTATTTACCTGGGTATTTACTCACCTATATATTCATCAGAATGGAATCTACACATATCATGGGCACTGGCTTTATAGGGCCTATAAATCTGCATTTTCTTGTGGAGTCCATAATTCATCACCAAACTGTGAATAACAGACAGCCTGTGGGGTTTCATTGGGTGGCCAGTCCCATAATGGAAGTTTCCAACATCAGGATTGAAAAAGTATGATACTTTTTGTTTAGACATTGCTTATAAACACTTCAATATCAAATTTACTGGAATATCTGCTGGCAAGCCCAAATGAACATCAAAGCAAGAGCAACAGCTAACAAACGTTTAGTTGTTCTGTACTTATCATGCATGAATGCAGGTTCAAATATTAATGAAATTTCTTTGTGCCAGAACAGAAGGTTTCATGAAATTTCAAAATACAACTAATAAAGATGTTTTTCTATTTTGTTCGAACAAAATAAAAATTCGGAAACCAAAATATTGACAACATAAACAACTTCTGCAGTGCCTAGAACTACAAGAACGGATTTATAACGGGATCTCAAGAAAATATCTCAAAGAAAATGGAATTGCCGAAGTGCTGAGACCGCAACTTATGCTTTCTTATACATGCTTATACTTCGCTGGATTATTCAGTTATTTCATTCAGTCACTAACCTATATTCTTTGCTATTTTGCTGGCACTGGTACACTAGACATGTCCAATATAATGTCAATAGTGTCAATCAAATGTCAAAGCACATCATTGTCAATGTCATAATTGTCATAACAAAAACAAAGTGGATTTGGTGGTTAGGTAAATGTAAATAAAGAAAATCTCTTGGAAAACAAGAATCCCTTGGAAGTTGGAATACTGATATTGATAAAATCTCCATAATTTCAGGCCAGGTGTTTGCTAAAACCATAATACTTTTTTCTATTAGTGAATAAAATCAGTGGAGATGGCTGAGACCCCAGGCTCATCACGTCTCACCAATGATGACTTTCGCAAACTCCTTATGACCCCAAGGGCTACTCCTTCTCATACCCCAGCACCAGTGGGTTCCATAAAGGAGGCGATGAACAATCCCAATTCCATGCCTCCCCCCAAGATCGAAGACAAGTCAGAGGCCAGGCGCAAGAAAAAGAGCTACTATGCCAAGCTGAAGAAACAAGAAGACAATAAAATGGCTGAATTGGCAGAGAAGTACCGGGACAGAGCTGGGGAAAGAAGATCAGGTGTGTATCAACATCCCTTTTAACAGACAAGAACTTGGTCTTTGATTTCTGCCTGGATTTCTGGTAAAAACTAATATTTTCCAGAAGTTTTCAGTCTGATGAATTGTTTAGAGATTGAACCCAATGAGACAGTTTGATTGTTGAGGCAAAACTCATCTTCAAATAATAATTTCTAATCTAGTTTCATCATCAACATTTTCAGACATATGCTATTGACAAAGAATATTAATGAGAATATTCATGCTATGTAAAGCACTAATATTTTTTGCTATTGGTCTGTGTGGGGAGTAACAGGAGATTGCATTCCATTAATTGTTTCATAATATAATTTTACTCTTCATCAATTATTTATGATACTTGAATGTCTGACTCCATTTCTATGCACATGTGTGAAAATTCTATCTACTAGCTGAGACAACCCCCATAGTTCCTGGTTATCTCAAATTTTCACAAACATTTGAATCTGAATCTAACTAATGTCATTCATTTTATCACATTATCATGACCAAAGATATGCCAAAACCTTGATTATTTTAATGATCTCCTGAAGTGAGAGTGAATTCCATCACAAGCCATTATAATTAGTGGTGGGGAATGAACTCCAGTAAACTAGAGGCATCAATTTGATCTGGTGCTTTGAAATTGACCTACTTCTTTACAAGTTCTACATCATGTTGAAATGGATGCCTCAATTTTGAGAACACCCTGTGTGTGCTTGAAACATGTACTACCAGCTCTATAGTTTATGGTACTCCTAGATGTGACCAGACTATGTTTCGTTTTACACAATAATAGACTAATGGACTGATTTTTTTTACAATTTCTTTATTCTTGATCTTCACATTGATATTTACAATTTTTTAAAATCAATTTTTCTATTACTTTATTATCATTTTCATTTTTATTCACTTCATGTTTTGAACATTTTTACTATTGTTTTTAATGCCACTGTTCCTCACACTATATTATTATTAATTATTTATAGGTATATTTATTAAATATATAAATCTTCATTGAATATCAGTTACATGTATATTTTAAATTATATGTCATTCACATAGGTTAGTGACCTGCTGTGTGAAAGAGATACATTATTACATGTATTTAATTTCTTTTTACTATGGAAATACTCAAATCAAATATAAATAATCAATATACATTATTACATGTATAAAAATTAGTGATCGACCGATACCGATGCCGATATATCGGCTATATCGGCCGAGGGTCGATTATCGGTATCGGCCTATAGATGTGAGTATATATCGGCTATATCGGCCGATGTATAAATGAAGACAACCATAGCAGCTTGAGACATTTGTTTTATATTTAAAGTTAAAGTAATATTTGAAATAAGGTAATCTTAAGAAATTATGGTAGATATAACATGAAATAGGCATTTAATATGAATACTGTAGTTTTGGCAAATTATCATGTAAAAAAATAAGTATATCTCGGTTGTTTCTGGATTCAGCCGATTCCTTTTCGCATCATTTTCGCCGAATTTACGGTTCATTCAAAGTGCAATTTTTGTTTTTATTTTTATGATTTCAAATTGAACGTTAAAGAATTATAAATTATATTACAGAATATTCAGATTTTAGAGATTTTAGGCAATAATAATTAATAATGAATGTTATCAATTAAAAAAGGCCGATATGCCGATATATACCGTTATCGGACAAGACATTATCGGTATCGGCTAAAAAAGTCATATCGGTCGATCACTAATAAAAATTATTATGGAAATACTGAAACACTCAAATCAAATTCAAATAATCAAAATAAAATATGGAACGAGTTGATTGAAAAAGAACATCGATTTTTTGTGCATTTTCTATAAACCAGCCTTTACCCTTTTTTTAAAGTTATATTATTTAGACTTTTTATTTTTGATAGGATTTTATTATAAATTTCAGATCCAATAAAACTAGAATGTTGTATAATATGATGATATAACACCAATTTGTAATCATTTTCCGAGGGGTAAATCCGAGGGTAAATCACATAGGAAGTCCTGTGTACCCGAGACGGGAATTCGTCGGGAAGTCCGGGTAGTCTTTGTGAATTCCAGGAATACCTTGGGAAGTCCGGGAATTCATTGGGTAGTCCAGATATTCTTTGGGAAGTCCCTGTGAATGGTGAATGTGAATACTGTTGTCATTGTTCATATTGAATCTCATAAGGTGATTACTAGTTACAAATCTGGCAGCGTCTAAATATTTGATCCTACTTTTTATGCGAAAGCCAGAATTCAGATAACGATGACTTTCAGTTCGGTTCATGACGTCATCGAAGCTGGCATTTTCGAGAGTGCCGAATTTCATTATTGAAAAAAATATATTTGCGATGATTATAAATAACGAATTATTGCATCAAATACTATTTATACACGGAATGATCAATATGAAATAGATTTAGAAAGGAATATTCTCAGATATAATTATGAACATGAAAAAATGGATATATATATATATATACAGGGTGTCCCAAAATTAGCCTGCCCAACTTCACTAGCGGCTTTTACGGTCCCCTGAAAGGGGGCTCCTGAAGATGATATTTCTTGAGTATTTCCGAAACTCCAAGTAATGAAAAGATGCAATTTGGTACAATAACTAAACTGTCCATGCTCAATGCAGTGAAAACAAAACCATTTCAAGATTTCAATCAGGAGTGTATAATACAGGGTGGGACTACATTTAATATTGCTCAACATTTTTTGTATGCATATGTTTCGATAATTTAATCTTGAATTATGAAATTTCACACCTCTACAGAAAAAATGTACTTCTGTTCCGTGGCGATCAGATGTATTGTTATGGAGTAAAAGCAATTTCAAAGTATTGTTACATTTCAGATATTATGCATACCATTGCAAGGCGTAGTTTTTTCACCATTTTTCTATTTTTCGCGCTTTTATGAAATGGTTCGGTGAAAAGACAGTACTTGATTTTTTAAATGCCACTATTGATTTGAAAATTGGCAACGTTATGCAAAAATTGTGAGCGCATCAATATTTCTAAATCGATTTCACTCGAAAATGATACATCTGATCGATGCGGAACAAGAGCACCTTTTTTTGTGAAACGGTGTGGATTCTCATAATCCGAGATTAAATTGTCGGAAAATATGCATACGAAAAAATTTGAGCAATATTTAATGTAGTGCCATCCTGTATTATACAGTCCTGAAAGGAACCCTGAAATGATTTTATGTTCATCGCATTGGGCATGGAAAGTTCAGTTCCTGTACCAAATTGCATCATTTTATCACGTGACGTTTCTGAAATACTCAAGAAATATCATCTTTAGGAGCCCCCTTTCAGGAGGCCGTAGCTCCCTTAGGAAACATTTCTTGACTCATGTTCATTGAAACTTTTCTCCTCGCTTTTCTCCTTATTTTTGGTCGAAGAAGCCGCTGGTGAAGTTTGGCAGGCTAATTTCGGGACACCCTGTATATACAGAAATACATTGAGAATTCGCATTCTCCATGTGATGAAAATATCAATTCTTTCTCGGTTCATTCAACACAAAACAACTGGCTATATGCCACGACGAACATTGAATTATATCTATTGAACACACACGATAAGAATTTGAAAACAAAATCTTCTGAAAAATAGGATTTGTATCCTCCTTCATATAAATATATGTATATGCACATGATATCATTCTGAATATTCCACAGAAAACAACTACTTTCCTGGCTATTTGCCACTTCGAACATTTAATTATATCTGTTGAACATCCAAAGAGAGAGCATGAAAAATGAAAATCCTCTGAAATTGATAATTTTTGCCTGCGTTGTAGGCATCTTTTTGCAGGCATCCTCATCATTCTTCTGAAGTAATCAAATATCTGTCAGTCTAATTCTGTGATTTGATCTTAAAAAATTGCCAATTTGGTGGTTGTGTAGTAATTTACATAACCATGAAGTCGAATGGAAGCTAAAAGGACTTACAGTTCTTCCTCGAACACTTGGTATTGGTATTGGTAGGTTGGATGGTGACAGATGCG